AGAAGAGCTTGTCTCTTAATTATTTGTATTGCAGTAGCTCCTCAGAGTCAAGGATCAGGGTGCTATTGTGCTAGGCACCGTAGAGACATGTAACAAAGAAAATGGACCCTGCCACAGAGAGCTTGGACAGTAAATTTCACCATGCCATTATTCCAGTTTTGAAGTGCTCCTCGCTTTACTCATCTTCACACCTGGTCCAGTCTGGAATGAGAGAGCTAAAGCAAGAGTATTGATATGCCCTGTTGGTGCAACTGATGCTCTTGTCCTCCTCACACAGGAACATAGATCTGCTGCAATCCACCACTCTGATAATATTTACTAGTCTGAAAATGACAGGTTTCAGAGTAGCAGCCGTGTTAGTCTGTATCCGCAAAAAGAACAGGAGTACTTGTGGCACCTTAGAGACTAACAAATTTATTAGAGCATAAGCTTTCGTGGACTACAGCCCACTTCTTCGGTATGCATCCGAAGAAGTGGGCTGTAGTCCACGAAAGCTTATGCTCTAATAAATTTGTTAGTCTCTAAGGTGCCACAAGTACTCCTGTTCTTTTTGCGGATACAGACTAACACGGCTGCTACTCTGAAACCAGAAAAATAGTTACTTTCCCTCCACACACTCTTTAATCTGAGGAACTTCAAGCGCTTCTATAGACATAAATTAAGCGTCACAACACCTCTGAGAGGTACATAATACATTACACACATTTTACAGATGGGTAAACTGAGACACAAGTGACTTGTCCAAGATCACTCTAAAAGTCAGTGAAAGAGCTGGGAAAAAAGAACTCAGCCATTCTGGACCTATTCTAATCTGGCAGAGAACCGTGTAACATGAGCCAATGACTAGAAGTTAAAGCGAGATATGTTCAGACTGGAAATAAGGCATAATTTTTTAAAGTTGAAAGTAATTAACCACTGGAACAATTTATCAAAGGTTGTGGTGGATTCTCATCACTGACCATTTTTAAATCACAATTAGATGTTTCTCCAAAAGATCTGCTCCAGGAATTATTTTGGTGAGGTTCTATGGCCTGTGTTATAGAGAAGGTCAGACTAGATGATCACAATGGTCCCTTCAGGTCTTGGAATCTACGAATCTATGAAATTATTAGACAGCAATTCCTCGTGTGAAAGCATGGCTTAGACTCTGGAAAGAAGACGACTGCAATGAGGTGCCTCATCACTTGAAAAAAGTGAGAGATCGTCACTGATGGGGAGCTAGCAATTCCTAGATTACCCATGATTTACATTGCATAGAAGCCTACGCAGGGCTCAGCCCCCACTGCAGCTCTATTTTGAGGGCATGAGTGTGCATGCTGTGTGCTGACATTTGCTGAAGAGTGATTTCTGAGTTGGACAGAGCTCAAAGTCCCATTTTCATTTCCAGCCTTTCTGGAGATTCAAGCAAAGATACTGGAAGACATTAAGAGAGGCCATTATCTGCCACAGCATACTATAAAACCCCATCTTGGTTTCAGTTTTAACAGCTTTGGGTTTTGGATCCTAGCAGTAAGTGTGGGTTAACAGGCACCTTCAAGACCTACTACAATGCTGCATTTCCCAGGGAAATTTCCATTATGTCTTTGTGAAGTTGGCTCCTTTCCCCTAAGCAGATTATTCCGGTGCCTCCTGTTTGCTGTAGTAATGACTCTGAAACAGTAAGTGCTGGATTTTTACATTTCTTATTCTCTCCTGACTGAGGAGGAATGAG